AATTGGATATTTCCTTCTATACTTTTTAGCACGTAGCTATTTATTATTATCATTGTTCTTCCGACGTCTGATTTCTTTTTAATTGTGGGAAATGCATTTTTCCAAAGTACATAAACTTTTGGGATTGATTGTATAGCCAATACATCCTTAAGTATCTACAACGAAATTCGGGCAGTAGCTTTATCATGTATTCCGGAATGTAACACATTTAAGTATTTCTTTAAAGCGATGGCGTATCCAAGAGATTTTCGCTTTACAATATTATGAAATCAACTCCTTAAAAATCAATTTGGGGATTTTTCAAAATGCACCCCCTGCTATCTTTTGTCTCCTGATTTCTTCAACATCGCTATCGACGAATCCGTGGAAGTCTAAATAAAATCGTACGCGTTTAATAATTCTTGCGAGTTGCATCGTTCCGTCGGCGAGGGAAAACATTTTTTTCTCGTAACAAACGTTTATCTAACACGTTCATCGCCCAGAAAGCGCAACACGATCACGCGTCTCGAACAATCTCAATAACTATGCGCAGCTGAACATGTAATTTGCATGCTACCCGTCGTATTGAAGGGTATCGATTCGACCGGAGCGAATATACTCACGTTGGTGCATTTCATTTTCAACCGTTTCACGATTTAATTACGCAGACACGTGGAAATATGATCAAGTATAAGATACATATTATTTCTGATTACTATACGGATAGCTGCAATTGTTTCAAGTATCTATCACTTAACTGAAGTATATAAATTCACTTACTGCCTTAGGCTGTTTAGCAATATCGAATGGAAAGTCTTCCTAGCCAACGAAGCAGTGGCATTTTTATCACTCGTACGAGTCAGCATTATCTTCTAGAGGCGTCGTATCATTTTTGATTCAAAATTACTCAATTATCGCGATCGGACGTTGACTAACAATAAGGACAAAACTCGAGAGAAATACTCGACGGAACTATGCTATATAAATAAGTATTTGCACTCCTCGGATATAATATTGATTTTCGTTGTCGATCTAAAGTCTCAAGTATGTTCTGAATAAGATATCACTATCGAGAATAAGTATCCGGAATTCGGATGGTCTGCCGTGAAGATGACCATGAAGAAATGGGTTAAACGCGATCCTTTCCCTGTGTGCGTTCGCGTGTGCCTTCCACTCACGGCTTTGCGAAAACACAACCACCTATGCAGGCAGACGGTGCACCGATCAGCGATCTCCCTGGTTTGTTCACGTGATCCACACGCCTCCGTACCGGTTACCGTTTTCGTAACACACGTGAATTCTTACATACGTTCCGTTCTCGAACCCTTCGCAGTCTCGACGTTAACATCGACGATTGCGGTTTTGAAAATTGCATGACATAGCTTAAAGAAATTCTCAGGTGACGGAGAATTCGCCGAAGCGTTTATCACGAAACCAGCGAACTGTAAGCTGAATGATAAAAGATTGTTTTCTCGGCCTGCATAATTGCTGATGTCACGTTAGGAGAACAGGAACAGGTCATCGTCCACCAGTAGTATATCTTGCGTCGATACGGGTGTAGCCGTGGACCCGGAGCTTTCTTTCTCGGCGCGTTAGCAACCCTTAAATTGCTTTCTTTGTCGCCACGGCAGCGATGGGTGTGCTGTATAAGTACCGACACCGACACAGTGAAACCAGGCGTCGCCGAGCTGAGACGATCGACCGAACCGTTTCCAACGCTTAGTCGCGTACCGGCCACCGCGCACAGAACGTCGCGAGGTGTTCGTAGTCGGACCAAACAACCAACCAGCTGAGCTCCTATTCACGTTACCACAAAGAAGAAAGGATCAAAACCCGATCCGATCGTCCTCCATTGACCTCGATATCAATTTATTCCCCTGGGTTTGACTGCGACATAGAAGAACGAACTTCGAAGCGAAGGTAAGCAGAATTTATTCTGCAAATTCTTTTTTGTGATCGTTCCTTTAATTTCCTACTTGGTCGCTCACTGAATGGATAACAAAAAGTATTCGGGAAATGTTGGCTGATTTTTACGAAATACATAGGTCCTTAACATTATTCCCTCGTGTGTTTAAAATTACAAGAGCAAATCTACAAGGTGAATATTTTCAACATATACATCTCCCGCTGACGGCTGTAATATTTATGTTTACCGACGTCTATAGAAAGACATATGAAATTTCTTGTACCGAATCGATTTGGGAGTGTACGATAACGGATAACGAATACACAGAAACTTGTACGCGTTGACTTCGATCGATCCTTTCTGTTCGCTTCTCTGCTAGGAAAATTGGCCGAGGCAATTTCGTGGCAGGCTCGTGGAAGTCGAAACCAGAATTTAACCGAGCCGTGTTGGTTTCGTTCCATTGAAAGTCGCTACGATAAATCGTATTTGAAACCAAGCGAAGAACCGCTTTCGAGAACAATCCTTGCCGAAGGTTTAAGGAAGGTTCCCTTCCTCGCACTATACTTCGACATTTTGCTATCCCGCGCCGCGAAAATAGATTCTTCTATGGCAGTGACCTACGTTTATTTCGATACTACCGACTACGAGAACGAGGACGTAGATCACCCGAAGTTTAATTGCATCACCAATTTGTATGATACGATTTTTCTACATTATATCTCCTGATCTATTGGTCAAGAATATTCATTATTGTATATATAGAATCATTATTATTCCCTGATTGTTATGCTGATTTCTTGTGCACGACAATTGTCGGATCACGATAGTCACACGTTACATGTTTCAATGATTTAATCGCGCATGACGTAATTTTAATGCCGCACCTGTGGAACCATGCGAGTCGCGATTCGATTTTTGAACCCGACCTATGATCCCACTACCGGCAATCAAATCGCTTCCTGCTTCAGTGCAAAAAACTAAAACTGTCTTTGTGTTATAATACATTTGTAACGAATGTTACACACGGTGAATAAAAATAATTCTTTAGAGTGAATCAATAAGGAGAATTTCAATATGATGGAGTTCGATGACTTAATGGAACAAAGAAGTATATATCTTATCAGTAAACATTTTGTTGTTTCACATAATTCTTATTGAATAATATCGTAAGTTTATATGAACAAAGCACTCATATTTCTCACGTAACCGTCTCTGGCTCACGGATTATCGTACAACGTTTGTTTTATAATAAGCCGACGATTAGAAACGACAACCGACTGTCATAAAATTGATTCACTCTAATCTCCTATTTGTCTTAGGATCGCGGAGCGCTAATTGAAGTGTCGAACGTCTTCCAGACATTAAACGATTAAATTAAAGTATTAGACGAAAACTGTCTGGTTCTTGAGATAACAAACAGGTGTTCTATTTCGATAACCGACACATGACTTCACAAATAATTGTCATCGGTTCTTAATTGTAAATCACGTGAGCTTATGCAACCAGTCGCAAAGTCTTTATCTACAAAATCGTGATTCACTCTCGAGAATCGTACCGAACGCATAGTCCGATTCTAAAGAGGAGAAACAAAGAAAATTCAATAAAACTGCGCTTAGAAAATTTTATGTTCCTCTCATGTGAATTTTAATTTAATTTTAAACGAACGCGCGAGACGCTTAGATTATTACGGCGCGAACTCGCCAGTGAAAGGTCACGATACAAGACGTTTACAAACACGCTGGTAAATCTAAATTGAAAACTGGAACCCGTGCATTGTCTTTCAATTTTACGAAGAAGAACCGTTCGTTTCGCGTAGATAGTTGGCGAAGGAAAGGTGTAGATCGGACAAAAACGATATCCCTCGGGGCGGTGCGTATTTGTACACGTTCTACAAAACGCAGTGGAAAATCTGCCGATGTAGAAAGTCAGTGTCCCGTCATGAACGCGGTCTCCTACCAAATTACCGTGCCATTAACCATGTTCTCTCGAGACCGTACAGTTTCATGATCGCAGCATTCGCTCGCTGAATTGTGCAAGCTAATAATGTTCCGAGACGTTCGATTTTCATAGTTGCGTGCAACAAACTCGTTATCGTAATCAAAAAAATGGCTTCGACAATTTTGAAATGTTCTATCATTCAAAACGATGATATAACAGGAAGATGGACTTACGATTTCCATGATCTTCACAGATCCAAGTTTTTCTGTTGGCATATGTTACTTGAATAAAAATGTACTCTTTTCCCTGCTCTGTATTAATTGAGTTTTTTCTATATACCACTGTTTTACTACTTTTTCAGAGTGTATAAGATGTCCGAGTACAGCTTCGCTCAGAGTTGACGAGGGTTCTTTTTTCGAGAGAGGTCAAATTGACTAACGCGTGTTAATCGAGAGAAAGAGAAGTTGAAGAAGGTCGAAGGAGGAGAACCAGCCAACCATGGATCCTTATTCACTAAGGTTGGTCCCGCTTATGAAAACTGTCTGTATACGCACGACTCGACACTATTCACAAAGATAAATTGAATGCAAAGGGAGAAATAAACCCAGCGATTAATGATACAAATTAACAGACGTCTCAGCGAGCAAAGAAGCCGCTCGATCTGATTACATCGAGCGCTGCGTACAATTAACTCTCCTTAATTAGAGCTTTCTCGTTTCCATTATGTATAAGCAAAGTATTTAATCAAACATAATACGCAATATTTAACAAAGCAGGAGATAAATGAAGCGTGCGAAGTTTCAAGGTCCGCTGAACAATGAGTCGTGGTTCTATTTTTATTTTTTAAGGGACAATACCTAATATTACTGCGTTGTTCGAAAACTGTTAGCCAGGGTATAATAAGTAAATCTCTAAACTGAATTCATCGGGGGGTCGATCCAACACTATTTTATATATGATGAAAAGAATCGTCCTAGGAACAAAATTCGGCACTCACCCTTCGTCGCAGGTAAGATCCATCAAATCGCTGAACAGGTTTCAGAACGGTTCCCATGATCTTTTTCCTGTTCTTTTGTCACGTTGATTTCTGCTGCCTGCTGGTTCGTGAATAATCCCGGATATCGAAGCACCCTCCCTTGGCAGGCACAGTTTTTTTCCTCCCTTCGGCATCCTGCAGGATAGAAAGTAGAAAACAGCTGCCACTCGTAGTACAGATTTTATATTATAATAAACTAGACAAATACGATGAATGAACGATCTGTCGATTTCGACACGGAAGCGATTAATGATACACTGTGAAATGACTGTCATTAACGCGCCGGGATGCTATTAATAACTGCAAATGCTTCGAGCACTTAGCTAATTGTTTTGCCTACATATTTATTCTTTATCGAGCCGTAATTCGAGCTTGCTATCGCCGCCAAGGTATTGTTCAGTGAAAAGAGGTTCTCAAAACATCCATACGTACCTATGAGCAATTGACGTTTATCGTTCGGTTTCTATTTCATAACAGCGGCTAGTTACGATAATCGAGAATTCAGCATGACGACATATGTATATAAGTTACATTATGATTCTATCTGGCTGCTCGTTCTCCAAAGAAGCTAATCGAAAATCTGTTTTCGTTATCCACGCGTGTGCGTATAAATTTTGGAAAGTGTCTTTCGAAATTCTACAAGCGTGTCGGGTTGCGAATTTAAACGCTGTATTATTGTTGCGGCGAAACGAGAGGTAAGACGATTGGTTACGTTTAAAAGGAAGTTTGTTGAATTTAAAACACATAGCATTCAAAGAATAACAGGAGAACCAGTTCAGCGAGTGAATTGATTCTCTCGTTTAGGAGGAAAAACGATAAGGCGTTACGTAGGCAAAACGATAACACGTTACTTCTTCTTCGCGCTTCGAAAACCTACACACTCGTGGCCGCATTTCCAATGTTCAAGTCTCAAAGTACTATAAGTTATAAATTATTGAATTTATCTTCAGAAAAATTCGATGCGTGAGCTAACTGCTAATAGCACTTCTCTGGTCGGCACTAAACGAATTAACAAAATACTGAAGGCTATCAAGGAAGTGTTAAAGAGGCGAGAACTGGCTCGTGTTTATGAATGAACGTTTCAATTTTGGGAATTGAACTTCGACCCAGCCTGGCCGTGATCTTTACGGTTCCTTCTAATACCAATCCATTTCACGCGCGTGTTACACGAACGAATGTCGACGTAAACACGGAACGAAGGACGAATTAATGTCTAAAAGCGTGCAAATAAACGGGATACAATCTGCCCAGCTGATGAAATTGGGCGTGACGTCGTGCTAACGAAAAGATAATCTACCGTCTTGTTCTATATATCCTTTCTTAAATTTAATTAGATTTCATAGAGACGTCAGTGGCGAGGTGTCGATATGGTTCATTAAGGGAGAAACGAGTTGAATTCTTGTTATAGGAACACGTGTAATACCGGTAGCCGTTCCACTTCTATACGGTGATCAGGGTAATTACAGTTACTCTGTTATGTCGTACTTATACACTCATTTAACTTAGTGCTAACTAACAGTAATAACTAACTCACAGTAATATACTGCAGTATTTTTCAAATATATTCTGACCTGAGCAAACAGTGCATTTTTTTACGCACCTTCCGTAGACTATGTTGTATAACATGTTTTTTTGATAAGATTAAAAAGAAATGTGCCATGGAACTTGCGAAAATTTTAATGACTGCGCCCGATTACGCTGATGACCATGATCGATTAACTCGCGAGCTAAAACAGTTCGTGACTGGCGTGATGTCACCTTACAAAACAATTCTCGTTCAATAATAGAAGTTACAGTTCGATAGATTTGAAGTTTCGATGATTCGAATGTCGAATCTTCAATTTGTTCTGACTGAAGAGACATCGGTCTATTCGAATTCTATTTAAACTATAAGTTCGTCGTAAAAGAAAAACAGAAACGAGAGCTCGTGCGTTTTACGTATGACTAATCTAAATTGATGCCAGCTGCCAAAAATACGTATTGTCGTCTAACGAGCCTGTTCTATTCTTACGAGTGTTTATTAGCATCATATTAGTAGTATGATCGTTCTACTAGTAGAAACTTAGCATTGGTATTTATTTGTTAGTCGCATCACTATTTATTACGCTAACGAACAATTAAAAAAATTATGATAATCGAGCAACGATTAGTGTGAAAACCGACCATCCGCTAATATTACCTACTCGGGAATAGTTACTTAGTTTTCCCGTGTTCGCTTATGCACGACAGCGTATACACGCAGTACATATGTACGTAATTGTCCGTTCACGCTGTATAAATGCAATTTTAATTCTGCGTGTCTCAACTGTTACACGATTCCGCGAAAGTCTACTCGAACATAAGCGAAATATGCATAATTAATATCAGTTCCTTCTAAACGAGAAATCAATTTCTGGTTTCAGTATAGGATTTTCATCCGAATACCTTAGGAAGATAATCTCGATGAATTATTGTTAGAGCCTCGATTAGCGACTCTACAGGTGCGATTACCTTGAATGATCTTCAGTAAATAATGCACGTCGAGCGACGGGCTACTTACGAAGATGCTTTCGAAATCCTCCTCGTGGAGGCGAATCGGTTTTCCTCGAAGAAAAAAATACAATCGATACGCGGAAATATTCTTATCTCTGATACGATTATTTTTGTAATCGATAAATACAACAAATACGAAACGATGACGCTGATACGAATATTTTCCTAGCTTTCTATGTTTCTCGATTGTGTAATACAGTTATTACATAATTACTCGTCCTCGCATCTCACGTTTAACGGTCAACACTAGTTGCACCAATTAATTGAAACGAATTGACCGAAATGAATTGCTTATTACGCGATTCTTTCTAGACAGTGTTCTGTTCAGCATCCAGACCCATCAAATCCTCGGAGTAAAGCGCGTTAATTATACCCCGACACATAATTAAGACTCGTTAAGCCCTGATGATTTAATCACCGGATACGTGTTGTATCTTTTTTGTACGATGTTGAGGAATTCAGAGAGCAAATAAAATTCTTTTGCAGATAAAAATTCATGTATTTGTACTCTACGTAGAAAACTCTTCGAAGGTGAGAAGTCATTACCCTGGTTTAAAAACAAAGCACGTTTGATGAGACGTTTTAATCCAGAAGCGGCTTACATGTCGCACACTTGATGATTAAACAAAATTCAACATTCAAATGATGTTTCAAGTGACAACGTTGATAGATTACAGTCTGACTTCTGTTTTAATTACTCTTCGAATCCTACACAAATTCTAATTCCTTCGTATATCTGGAGGACACGGCTGATTTACGTGTCGCGTGATTTTAACATAAAATTGCGTCTCTCCGCGCGATAAACATTTTACTTTCCTCAGCAACTATTGGTCGAGGTTTAAAAAGGTTAAATTGCATCAAGTTGTCGCAATAAATCGCCAACTGCCATAAATCTACTCGCAATTACGATCGCAGATATAAACACGTATACGTGTTCCATAAAACGAATCGCGCGTGATCTCATGTTTTTTCACTAAATGTACGATCGTCCGCGAAAATGACACGAGCCATAGCGTTAATAGAAGCAACTTCGAATATGTTAATTAGTAAAATGAAGAATGCTGTGTCATAATCACGAATTGTCGTGCGCGTGTCCGTCTCCTTCTGTTACATAATAGCCTTGAGATTGATGAGGAAGTGAAGATGCGGACCGCAGTACGTCAGACATACAAAAACATTTATGTGTGTCACGTACCCAAACATTTTGTACCATGCATTGTTTTATCGATCGACCCTATCAACGTACTTGACAATTAATTTTTAACTAAATTTTGGGATTCTAAACTTGTTTGGTTTTTGCATTAGTGTCGAGCGCGAGGCATCGAAGAACATCGAAGAGAACGAGAGAGAGTGTTTCAAAGATGCGATCGTTTCCAGTAGAAGCCTCAACAAAGGCTTCATCGAGCCTTTCAGTCTTAAGAACTCCCTAGTTGAAGTAAGGACACCTCGTTTCTCAATAAAATATTTCATTCTAAACGAGTTTGTTCGTAGATCACCTGGTGTATCATTGCCGCATCCTTCCACATATCAGTGGGCTTAGCTATGGCTTATTCAGCGATTCTGATTCCTCATCTCGAGGCCGAGGACGCGGAATTGCACGCTACACGAGAGGAGACTTCGTGGATCGGTAAGTAACCGGAAGATGAATAAATTCCAATGATTCGCGAACGTGAAATCCTATTACATTTTTTGAATTCTGTTATATCCCGTTATACTTCTTCACTTGTAAAAATATGAAATTCACTTTCAGCTAGCGTGGTGGTGGTGTGCGCACCCGTAGGAGCCGTGTTAGGTGGCTTCCTGATGGAAACTGTGGGCAGATTGAGAACGCTTCAAATCGGCGCTCTTCCCTGCATCGCGGGTTGGGTCCTTATAGCACTCTCGACGAACATCCCGATGCTGTTGTGCGGTCGATTATTATGCGGCTTAGCCACGGCTCTAGCGACCTCGCCAGCGATAGTGTACATCACCGAGGTCGCTCGGCCAGAATTGCGAGGATCGCTGTTGTCCTTCGGACCGACCCTGGCCTCATTCGGTATGGTTTTATCGTATTTGAAGGGTGCATATCTTCCCTGGAGGCTGGTGGCCTGGCTCAGTATCATCTATGCCATTGTACCAGTGATCTTGGTGCAATTCTTCGTCGAGGAATCGCCCATGTGGCTAATTTCCAAACAACGACCAGACGATGCACAAAAAGCAATAAACAAGTAAGAGAAACGAAAACCAGAAAATCTTCTTTTGCAGAAAACTTGGATTATCGGAAACTTATGCAATTTCTATTGTTTCGATCGTAGGATGTACAGATACGAAGAGGGGAAAGCGTTTGCGCAATTCCATCAGATTAAGAAGGAGAACGAAATTAAAGTCAGCGAACAGAGAAGAAGCAAGCACGGCAGCTTCTCGAACAAGATGAGGGGGTTCCTGAAGCCCACAGGATGGAAGCCTATCATGATTCTCTTCCTACTCTTCTCCTTCCAGCAATTCTCTGGCATTTATATCACGCTCTTCTATGCTGTAACTTGGTTCCAGGTAAGATGTCAATTACGAATCCTTTGGACACTTCGATAAACAATTCAGTTTACATATTTCACGATCGTGTTAATTGCTGCCGTTCAGGAAGTGGGCGCAGGAGTGGACGAGTATAAAGCTTCAATTCTAGTCGGCGTTACGCGTTTCTTTTGTTCAATGGTGAATACTTGGCTGCTAAGACGGTACAAAAGGCGACAGCTGTGTATCGTCTCTGCCTTGGGAATGGCTCTTTGTATGTCCGTTTCTGGATACTTTACGTACCTCATTAAGAACGGTGATCGTTCTGGATACTGGGTACGTAATTCTATTACTTTTCATACGGCAATTCGTTATCTACGTTTTACTTATCAGGTTCCTATTCTGTGTCTACTGCTTTACGTGTTCACGTCTATGATCGGAATGCTGACAATTCCATGGACAATGACCGCGGAACTGTTCCCAACAGAGATTCGAGGAATCGCTCATTCCATCAGTTACTCTATAGCCAATTTACTCATGTTCTCTGCTATCCAAAGTTATAGGAGCATACAAGCTTTCTTGGGGGGTACGTAAAAGATTCTATAAGCCAACTAAGTTTGTCTTAAAATAGTAGTATCACGGTTCTTCGGTTTTTTTTACAGGATCCTTTGCGGTGCAGTGGTTCTTCGCGGGAGTTTCGTTAGCAGCAGTGGTATTCGTTTGGTTACTGCTACCAGAAACCCACGGCAAGAAGCTGTCGGAGATCGAGGAGTATTTCCAGAATCATTTCTTAGCTGTAGGCGCCGAAGCGAAGACGAGGAAACGGCGAGCGCAGCAAAGAAAACAGCGAAAGGAAATGTCCGCCGCGGAGCCTCTCAACCCGAAAACGATGTTAAAAGTATAAGTACGTACGGCTGATCACGCGAGCAAGCTACATATAACATGACATACAATTTATGTTCTAATCGATGTCGTTACTCTAAGAAACTGTGTACGAAGTACTAATCTACATATGCATTAAGTAATTTCAAATCAATTACGTATGTAAGAATTCTACACGAAGCTACGTTATTGCTTAAGTTACGTTTATTTCTCATTTAGTGAACGAATAAAACACGACGCGAGTTTTGTTTGTCGTCCTTGTTCGTCCCGAGGAAAGTTTTCCAGACTTTTGTCGGCTTGTATTGGCGTGTATCGACCTCGCTTTCGCTCTTTGCTCTGCTATCGCGTTGATAGATCTACACCCAGTGTTCCGCGACTTGCGGAAGATTTCCGGAAAAAAGTATCAACTGATTTCTCTGATAAAAATTGCGATAACGCTTATGGCGATCCTATCAGCGGTCATCGCTGCATTGGGTATGGGTTCTAAGTCGATCTTCCGAAGCGAACGAGACAGTGACTATCAAAAATTGGCATCGAACCACGAGGCAGCCACGTGGCCTCCTCAGATGTACCCCGTCCTACCCACGGTTTTATCGACAATTTGGTATCCTAGTGTTCACTGGGACGACAGTAAACCAAATGAGATTTACGGGCGTTAGTCCTCGAACATCGCTCTTCGAGGACTGACGCTCGCAGATTTCCTAAGTACGTTTAACTCGCCCTACGTTTTTACACACGTTCGTAGGATGATAGATATACAAATACTGCGGACGGTTTACTCTTCACTCTGCGATAAGCCCCGTGAGGCGTGGATGTTTACGCGTGCAAATTTTTAACAATAAGCACGTGTGTGTGTGTACAACGAGCAGATGATACGCATGGCATGTGTTAGGAGCATGACAACCAAAACTTCTACCAAAAATATCGAACGACCATACAACGCGAGGCACCAAACAGTATTAGTTGATCTGATACAGCCCTTCCTCTAGGGCCGTAGAGGGAAACGATTAAAATGGTTCTTTTCGTTCAGTTCGACACAAGTTATTTGATCCATTTGCATCGTATCTTTCCGGCTATGAGTATTAGGAAAATTAATACAATATATCGTATAATGGCTGATTGATTTCAGAGAATGATTCATACAATAATCAGTAGTGATAGAAAACAGTAGTGATGCAAATGGGTTGAACGCGTCTGTATACGTTTGCCGTTTTCGGACAGACTGTTGCATTTGTTGAAACAGATATATAATAATACGAAATACAACTCCGCTGTGATTTACAAATAAAAAGAGCGTACCAATTAAAAGTCTCGCCAGTGGGACGTACAATTTGAAAAATGGAATATTTGAATGCATGGTATCGAGGCGCAGGCGCTGCGTTACGTGAAGACAGTATGAATGCCTTTTTTACGGATCCGCTCTGATCTACTTAAAAGATACGATATACTAAAGACCAGAATTCTTTTTATACAATGTTCGCAGTCAACCAACTTTCATGCGTATATCATATTTTATAGCGTAATTCTTCCTGAAGCGAACCATTGAATACACGCGACCGAACTTTTATTAGAGATAACTGATGGACCAGATCGAACGTCCAATTGTACTTTAAAATTCAGTGCGCTTGTCCGTAAATTGTTAGAGGAATAGAATGATGTTAGAATAGCAGATCGTCACCGAAAGGAAGGACGAGCTTATACAATAATTACAGTTATTACTTGTCACGTGTGTACCGTGAAGTAGTTGCATTCTTTACGAGAATTATTGAAAAGTATATATATGCGTCGAAATCTTTTGGTTTGAGAAGTGCCTTTCCTTTTCGTGACTGCAATTTGTTGTAAAATAAGTTTGCGGGAATGTGCGAACAAAGTTTTGTACGAATTCTAATACTTTGTATCGTACTTACCACAACATACTTGTGTTATCCGTGTATGTACACATACATATATACTTATACTTACGTAGGTACCATTGTAAATTTTCGTAAAACGTTTCTAATAAAATCATATTTTTGGAAACCACGAAAAGACTCTTTAAAATAACCGTCACAATCTTTGGCGTCGCGGTTTGGATCGGATCGAAAATGGTCGGGTAAAAACTAATTAAAAGAATTTTACTTGCGATTTACCTGGTAATGATCGTAAATAAGGAGGGCGAATTCCGGAGGCGGACGGATTCAGGATAAAACTGAATTATTTCTGAAACGAAGATTAAAAGCTTTCGTACAGTCGTCGGTGATACAGGCGTTTGAACTTCTTGTTTCGATGATTCCGCGTATACAATTACGAAGTCTAAATCTATATCTCGACAATTACTTCTAATCGTAATTACGATGTCCTTACGTAGACATCACGACAATTCTTAAATTAAACACGATTTTTCACTCACTGCGAAGAAAACGTGACACCGGTGCTACGAAAATTAGGAAATGGTACAGGCAGAAACTCTGATCGTTGATTGGATAATAGAAAAATAACGCGCGAAAATGGACGGAACACCCGACCGTTTCGACTTTACTCCAGAATTTTAGATGATCGTATACCTATTCTCTTTGGATCTGTACCTGGTGTTTCATCTACGTCGTTGATGATTAGTTATTAGTCGAAAACGCGAGTAAGAACAAACGACAGTCGGGAAGAAAGGACTTCCTATCCATAGAGATGATGTATTATCTCTATGCTGCGGTCACGTGATATCGGCACATGATCAGAGGACACATTTGATCATGTGATACAAATTACGATATAAATATTGTGTGACAAATAGCGGAAAGTATACAACAATTTATTTTATTTCGATTTGATTCCAGCTCAAACTTCGTTTGAACCATCGGTTATTTAATGCTTTTCTGATACTATAGCATGACGAGACTGGAAATATTTTCAAATCTCGTTTATTGACAGATATATAAAGCAATCGACTAATCATCACTCGCATATAAAATATATTCTCTAATACTAATAAGATTAGAGCGTATTAAATATACATATATCGGCGATTAAAACAACATTCCCATTTTTATACCGGTTTCATTTTCTCAAGGATCACGATTAAAGATTAGTACGATAAAGTAAAAAGTACAATTTTCTGTGCGTGTAACAAGTAATCAACACGAAACAGTTAATAGAATAAATAGCGATAGCCTGCATTCCTCCTATCGTTTCGTTTAGTCGCAATCAAATAAATAAAATTTATTTGATTAAATTAAAAACCAAATACCGTTCAACCTTACCATTTTAATTTCGCGAACGCTCCTACCGAGACGCTCCGTCACGTGGAAACTGACATTTCCCGATCCCTTTCCCACGAGGCTCTGGCCCGTTTTTACTTGTTTCGAACTCTGAAGTCGTGGCAAATGAAGAAAGCAATACATCAATAGTGTCAACGAACGATTTATACGTATGGACTTATAATGTTAATCATCGCGTTACAAATAGACTGGCAAAGATCTGGATAGTACGTCGTAATTATATGTTCAGTACCCTACTTGTATCATACACGCATTAGTAAATATAATATAAATCCTGTCATCAATAATAATTGCTGAAAAACTTAACAAAACAAGCTTTCGTCGAGAATTTGTTTTATAAACGATCGCGACACTACGCAGAGTACAGCAGTGCCAAGATTCTCGTTCACCTCCTAGCACGACCAACGCTGCAGGCAGTGACGGTGAGCTACCTAATCCGTATTAATATTACAATTATGTTCTATAATAATATATATATGTATATACAATCCGCAAACACCACTTCAAACTCTAAACCGCTTCTTAAAATAATGACGAACAAATTGTGAAAACATCATCGAACGAAGTTTCACATCTTAGACGAAATCGATTAATTCACATTAAATCCTACACGTATAATCTCCTTCCGTTTATTCGCGGAAGATGATGCGAATGCTGTTTATCCATCGTATCTGTGATCGAAAGCAATCGCTGAGAACAATTCGCGTGTGTAATATTTTCAGATCACCGCGATTTATGAAAATAGACGTAGATATACATTCGTCGACGATTACATTGTTTATTAATCCACAAAGATGTGCGTTCATCGTTCTCGACGACGAAGTAGCAAAATGAACACGAAGAAGGTCGATAATCTGATTCAATTCATTTTCTTCGAACAGCGTCGTTCTAATGAAAGGGGGGAACTTTACGTCGAAAGAATCGAATTCTCTAACTACTTTGCTGAGACTACAATCGCTTCAACTTTTTTTCTACAAGACGATAAAAGACGATCCCCGAACAAATCTCGTTCCGACGACGCCAAAGGCACCAAGTAAAAGAAATAGCTCGCACCCGAATACTGCCCTGTCATCGTACACCATGCGATATCACTTTTTTGGCACTGTTTGCCCACCTATTTATTTAGGAATTACATTCTACCACACGTTATGTATCGTCTGCATTCTATTAATTTCAAGATTGTTCATGGGTGAAAAATGAATAGATCTAAAAAAATGATCGAATTTGGTAATACGTCGATGATTCACTTTCAGTTTGATCATGAAATTGTTCAACTACTCGGGAGCCTACTATTTAATAATAAAAGACGAAGGTTGCCTATATATTTATGTATAATATGTATGCTTATATAAAATAAAACGGAAATGACAATGGCACAGAACGTTACTAAAGACCGCCGTTATGTTAGCTTTGATTCAGCGTTCGTTTAATTCTTGGCAACGTGACGAATAATTTAAATATTATCATTACTCTCAAACATCGCGTTCTTCTAAATACCATTCTTCCGTCTTCATCGCGTATTACTCTCCCTCCCATTCACTCGATCACATTCTCAATTCTTATATCTGTTTCTTTGTCAATTTCATCTTTGCATCTCTGTTGAGTAATTGTGCGTCCTTGGAAAATCTGACTAGCACACGAATTTTTCTTTCAGACAAATAAATTATATGCTCTCTGGTCGATTTACACGCGGTTCGGAAAAGTTGCTGTGATAATTGTATATTACGCGTGTATGCATCGACTTTTGCTCGTCGTTGATGTTAGAATACGGAAGAAAATATTTCTTAGAAAATTTATTCATCGTCACTGATCGTACAGAATCTATATGAAACGGATCGTTGTCTCGACACCTAGTTTTTCCTGTCTTTAAATTAATTAACTGCAAGGTGTACAGCAACATATTGCCACGTGCGATACTACTTAGCGATGTTTTTTAAAACGGCGTACAAGCGTATAATGTTATCTTTACACAACGTATTCTCGGTAATAATTGGCATTCACGTACATCATTCATTTAGAGGGCCACTAGGGTGTCTCTCGGCAGTGATTACGCACTGTCTCTCCTCATACTTATACTCTGACCAGACACCCGAATCAACCGCGATCAACTCTAATAGACGCGTAACAATAATACACTGAAACACCTAAATATATACACAATATCCTAACGAAATTCAAAGAATATAAAATCACAAAATGGACAAGAGGCACGACACTGTTGTTTCGTTCCACAATATGGGGAAAAGTATTTTGAACTCCTAGTAAGAAAAAACGCTAGAACTTAAGTCGTAACCAATAAAAAATACACGTATTATGACTGGAAAACCTTACGTATGTACGTCCCTAAAGCGATTCTTCCCGATTAAGTATCACGATTCTCAGCATCGCGGAACTTGTTGTTAGTTAATTCTTGCTGTTGCTACGCGGGCTCGCCGGCTGACTGTTCGTTTGTTGGGCGCGCTGTATGTAAATGTTCAACAGTTTTAGCTTGCTGGTGTACAAGCAGCTCAGATGAGGTTTTATTACTTCTTCACCGACTGCCAAGTGTATGGCTACCATGCAAAACACCGCACTTTTTCGCACCGCGCTTTCATGATCGTCGTATGCCTGTCGCGAGAACGTAATAGTTAGATACAAAGAGAATGATTAGTACTTGATTAGCTTACTTTGATGAGGCCGGGCATGACTTTCGATAAGTGGGGTTCTATTGCGTCGCGACCCCAATGTTCCACAACCTTGTGAAGCATTTTTATCGCGCCCATGTTCAACGGATAAGGTTCGGTAGTTATTATAGTCGACACTAAATGAATTATTTGTTCCGGTTGGAGGACCATCGCTATTGTCGCAGCACATCTTTCTGCCATCCAAAGAATCTGAGGAATGAACGATCGTTCGTAATAGTCGCGAACCCAACGAAGTCTGTCTAACGAAATAAACTGACGAACTTACAGGTGATCTGGAATTGCTGCTACTGGTAGAATCTTGATTCTGATCGTCCAATTTGTACGCGTTAATTACTTTTAAAACCAGTAGTTCAGGATAAAGAGAAAAACTGTCTAACAGTTCCGGACACTTAAGCATATCGTTTAGCGTTTGAAGTACTTCTACTTGTAATCTCTTGCTATCGTTAGACAAACTATCTAATAAAGTTTTGAGCAGTTTTCTAAAAAAAAAACACCAAAGCCAATTAATTAAGAGTCATTTATAAACATAGATCAGACATACGAGATTTAGTATGCGTACTTAAAATTTTGTTTAATATACAAGGCATCTCCTTCTCGAACATACAACTCGAATTCCTGTAGAGCGGATATTTTTTCATCAGTCTGTGCTGTTTTAGATTGTAACGTTTTAATCATATTATCTAAAACTTCTGGTCTTTTTGCCGGATCGGGTGACGATCCTACAATGATTATAGTAAATCAAAAATATCTTTCCAAATCTACAGTCAATATTCTCATTTAAAAATATTGTACATACCATGCGTTTTGTAACCATTATTTTCCTGAGGTAGAATGAGATCGCCAGCAATTGTATCGCTCGAACCATTTACTGTGATGTTAGTCACAGATCGGCCCCTCTGCGTGGGCGAAGAAACAGAAGATGAACGACCCTGATAAAAATATGCTAATAAGCACATGTCAAGTAGACGGCTATTTTTTGCGAGTGTTACCGATCACTCACTTACCGAATTGCATAATGTTGGTCCTTCAGTCTTCTCTTCTACGTCGGCCATATTACTGATGCCACTGTCTTTGCTGGTCGTTGCTCTTTCCAAACGCTCGAAACCATAATTCTGTATTTCAGCCGTTGTACGCCTCAAGGATCTGTGGGAAACGCTTAAAAATTGAAATGACTAAGAACCTATAAAGCGTTGACGATTCATCAAGGGAAAATACATCAGTCACTTACTTATAAACCTCTTCCAGATTTTCGTCCGCGTTTTCGATCTCGCCTTTACCTTTCGTGCGAGCCGGAGAACTCTGAGCTCTAGGTGGCGGAGTTCCCGGTGACGCGGGATTACTGGTGCCCGATGATTTTCTTAAATGATTCTGTACTAATGGCAATGCTGCCTCCTACGCAACGTCCAAACGTTTCATTAAATAAGTCCTGCATCTAATGCTTACGCTTTTGATAAACTTACTTGATAATATTTGGGTAATTCGGACAATATCATGGTCACTTTTGGAGGATTTAAATTATACAACGATATGACGGCGTTCTGTGCATGCCTTCGAACGTCTTGACTTTTAATATCGTTCGACCAATCGAGCAGCCTTGCCAACGCCGTTGCCGAAGGGTTGTTCAATGCAGACGGTTCTGCCGTTTCCGCGATTTGTGTGATGAACATGCATGTCGCTACTCTCACTCTGGAGTTTGGCGTTTGCGTTGGATCCGTCAAATACCTCATTACAGCAGGCAAAAGCTGTTCTCCTCGGAAACATTCTCTACAAGATTCGTCGAATGCAGACAGTTGGAACTATCACGAAAACGTTCATATCAAATATCACTGGACGGTCTCTCACCTGACTACGTCAAGCGTCTTGTGAATTTTCGCTTGTATCGAACCTAAAAGATCTGTACCCAATTTATTGAGGAGTCTGGCACACAACACGTAAAGCCAGTCACCGAGGTCCTCGCTGTGTGTAGCTATCAATTCGTTAAGCGTGTCCAAAAATAAACTAAAGACTTTCGTATGAGAGTCCATGAACATTTTCGTAAAGATGTCCGTCACCTTGCGCAAGTCCGTAGCTGTGAGCGTATTTCCCATCGAAAGAAAATGTTGCAGTCCCACTAAACCTTCTTTCCTATCACCCCAATGCTTATGCCCACAATTCTCTATAACTTCCTTAATATCCTGCAAAATCGAAGAATTGCTCCACATAACAAAAAGAAATCACGGGACTATCGCTTGTCATCTGTTCTCAACAGATAGTTCTGTTCACGATCTATAAGATCGTGGTTCTGTTCTCGTTTGACGAAACAGCAGTATAGTGTATCGAATGTGTATGCAACAAATGAAAATGGATACAATTAAATTGAACAAACCTTAGGGGCAGATGGATCCCACATATCACGATACAGTCTTTGTTGAGAGCCACTCCATGAGAACGACTAATGGGTAGATGGGCGATGGATAGTATGGAGAACAGAACGGCACATCGCGTTAGTCCAAATCAAACAAATATGCCGCAACAAAATCAACAGAAAAAACCAGACATGCGTTAACTACATTGTTCAAGGATCGATAAAGCCTGTACTCTATGTAATTGATCTAAATACTACGTCTATTCCCGAGAACTTCGTTTCGTGGAACGATAAACGACGTATGCAAGTAGCAAGATTCCTCGCTATGTTCGAAGCAAACCCTTAATAAATAAGAAAGTAAAACCCCTCAAATAAAAATGACGCAAGCATTTTATTACAAATTAGGAAAGCGATACTTAAACAAACGTGGAATGAAAAAGCGTATCGGTACTATGAGCCGCTTAAATATTTCAGTAATGCGCAAGTGATACTTGTTACAATGTACGCATAGAATTAATGTATTCTGTATTGTAAGTACCCTATGTGAAATATCGTCTGCGTTTACTCTCTCACGCTAGTTTACGTTTCCTTCCATACTTACATCGTTCGGACGCCTGAAGCTGTCCATGCTTCGTTCGGAGCAGATGCTGCTCGTCTCGCTATCGTCGCTGTGATCACCCTTCCCCCTCGGCGTTCTCGGGTAGTTGTCGATATTATCGAACGTAAGCGCATCCGCCAACGCTGATTCGGCTTCGCGCGACTGCTGCAGCATCTTCTGCGCCATCACCGGTCTAGATTGGGGCCTATCCGTTGGAGACATATGTAAGCTTCTTCCCCTATCGTTCCATAACGTTCTATGTACAATCGGGACCGAGGTGAAACGAGAATGCCAAGGTAAATGTCGTACCGTATTTTGCTCGCGAAACTCCGGTCCATTCCAAACCTTTGCGGACTCGGCTCGCGACTGTTCCCCGTACTCCTGATCCCGTGTCCAGATAAACGTCTAGGTCTCGCGATCAACGATTCACCTTCGCGATTATACGTCGCGTAACTCAGCCTTGACGACGGTGAGCCCGATCTACTGCTAGCTGCGGAACATTGTATCACGTTTTATCGCGAAATTGTCAGCTATTATTAACTTTGTCCCATTTAGTTGAGACTTACGTTGAGATTGCGACACGCCAGACACTCTCGTCCTCGTTCTCGCGGTCCTCTCTGGACTGGCAACGGTGGTTGTGTCCGGCGATTTGCTTGGTCGCGCTGTAAACGAACTTGCTGAATTGATCGAAACAATGACTTACGCGATTCATACTTACGAAGAGAAGCCTTCTGTCGGCTTATATTGGCATACATCATCCTCGCCTTTGCTCTCTGTGCTGCTTGCAAGTCTATCGCGCTGGTAGACCTAACGCCCGGCGTTCCGCGATCTGTAGAAAATTTCCCGAAAAAATTGTTAGGATAGAACATAATAGGTGTAGAGAAATCAAGTGATATCGCCGATGCAACCGCTGTAGCGTGATTGAAAATTTGTACGCCGTTTTCTGTGATGAAAACTGGCGATAACGCTTATAGCGATTCCACCAACTGTGCATCGGTGCATTGGGTGTGTGTTCTAAGTTGCTGTGATCTTTCGAAGCGAACGAAACAGTGACAATTACAGTGACTATCAGTGTGTCTTTGGAGCACTGGGATACCAGACTGGCGATAAGACCGTGGCAAGGACGGGGTACGTCTGAGGGGGCCGTGCGGCTGACCCGTGGTCTGATGCAAATTTTCCGTACTACCTTCATACGTTTAATGTAAAGTAGAGTCACGAAAGCAGCATGAAAAAGAAGTGACAAGTATCATCCACCGCACTGATCGCGTCTCTTCGTTCACACCAAATTCCAATCTATTCTAAATTATATTTCCTCGGGATTAAATCGAAGATAAGCGAAGTACCTGTGGCGCTCATCGCTGGCCTTGATGTTCGAGGACTAACGCTCGCAGATCTCGTAACGACGTTCAAACTGTTGATGCTTCCGCTGTTGCTAAGAGACATCAATGAGCGTTTGTATGCGATGTCCAAGCTGTTCAGCAAGGTTTCTGCTTGCTCCGGGAAATGATCTTTGTATGCCCAATACGACCTGAGAAACAACGTTTGAAATACCATATGTTCTTTAGTGAAGAGCGAACGAGGAATGGAATTGTATTTACTTTCGAGCGAAGGCTCTTGCTTCCGAATCGGAATCAGCGATGCCCTTCTTGATCGTGTCTTGCAATATTTGACAGTGTTTCTGCAATATCTGAGTAGGCCACGTCTGCAGAATCAGATGGAGATACTCGCACGTCGCCCTACGTATGTCTTTGCTTTTGTGATTCAAGCACGATGCGATGATTGGCACGAAACGATTGCAATGCGTGTTTTGAAGGATAAACCTGACCGCGACGGCACCGGCTGTTGCCACAACCTGGGAACGAACGACGTCTATGTTTTTCCATTCGATATCATCAATTCCCATTTCGTAGGTGTATCTACTAAACCGACGAATCACTCACCTTGGCACTGTTCTGTATGAGGTTCATTAAGGTGAGTAATACCGCGTCGCCAAAACTAGCGAATTTATTTTTCAACTGTATGCTGAGATACGCTAACGTGATGCACGCCTCTCGCACCACCTGCGATCTCAGATCGGTGCAGGCCACCTCGAAAGGTCTCTGCAGGCTCTTCAACAGCTCGAAGAAATTGTCGTAAGACGTGCCACCCGCGATAACGATTGATCGTACTTTTTTTATCTACAAGATAATTCATTTGTCATCACATTGATCTAAAGTTGGATCGGTTATTATGATTATTATCGATGCGTACGCTCTCCGTCCTCAGTTTCCAATCTTTCTTATCGTCGCCGACATTCTCTCTTATGATCTTCATCTGTTCTTCGAGGTCTTTCGCGGAGAATAAGTTCATCGATGGCACATCCTCGAACGCTGTGACGAACGTCTCCTCATCGACGGCACCAGCTTGCCCTAAATATATCATTTATTATGCATACTAACTTCGAAATTAAAACCTCAGCTTGCTCGGAAAATTCTATTTCAAAAATCGGTCTTACTTGAAACGTATTACTGTGTACTACGTTTATAAAAAACTTGAATATGTTACAAGGTATTAATAAATATCTAACGAAAAATGGAAGAGACACTAAAAGCAGTGCGATAAAAAAAATGAACGTTAAATGAATTACAATGAAGCGATATTGTGCAAAAGCTGTTACGATGAATATTAACTCGATCGAATTAAAAATAATTTTCCTTTTATACTTATATCATGACGGACATCTGAAAAGGCGTGAACGAAAAGTGCAACAATTGGCATAAGAGAACCATCATGATACAAAGTATAAAGTCGATTATGCCAATGGATTTTTTTAGATACCTGATGCCGGTTTTACTGACACGTTTCTTTTGACGGGCCTTGAAGACGAGGGTGTTTTACCGGGCTGAGCTGTGTCATGCAAGCGAATAAATTAGCATTCTCGTCGTCCGCAGTTCATACGGACTTCGTTGCGGCGCATGTTCGGTGAGAATCGTTTGACAAATCACAAATTATAAAATGGTGAGCCAGAATAAAGGTGAAAGCAAAGAGTTATAATGTTAGCTCCGTAGCTGTGCATGGATGAACAGTGTTCTGTGCTTCCGTAATTGTTAATATCAAAAGTCGTAACATCCAACACTTATTTAATACAAATTATATGTGGCACACGAAGCGATGTTGTTTACGCGGAGACAACAGGTGGATAAATGTATCAGATCTACTTGCATGGTATTATAAATATAATATCTTCAATTCCATTATTCTACGTAAACAAGAAATTTAATGTACAAGGCTACAAATCAACAATTTAAATTACCATGCTCAGAATGAAAACTGAGAAATCACGTTTGTGTATTACTTCGATGTTAATTAATACCGAGCAACATCTAAATATACCTATAGCCGAAGCCGGAGTTTTCGCAGGACCGAACTGTCCTCTTTTCGGAAGGGCAGGTGTCCTTTTCACAGGAGCTGACTTGGTCTGGAATGATTTGAAATTATTTTTTATATATTACGAATAATTTTTTAGCGTGGAGCCGTGTCCTTCTTAAATACTTACTGCCCTGTCAGTCTCGTCCACGTTTTTCCCCACTGGAATAGAATGCACATGAAAATCATTACAATTAGTCGAGTATTTCCTCTATTTTTTGGTAATTACAGTTTCTCTAACGCATTTGTACCTAAATCTGGGTACAGCCACGGTGGTTTATGAATGTCACAATGACACCCTCTTGCTCTAGCGCCGGGATGTTTCACAATATTATCCCACTGAAGAATCCATCTACTACTCGGATCCCACAATTGTTTATCAATGCTAGGATACTTTTTCAACCCCCTGTGTAAGCAGCGATGGCTGTTTGACAACAGCATGTCGGTGTCGGTCATTGTTACAAAACTCGCGGTGCAATACGAATATACAAACTACACACTTTCATCACAAAGTTCGTGCGACACTGTTACATCTTTGAAGAAATGATTTCACAGAGAAGATCAGCAACAACGTTAGAGAAAGTGATTTGCAATATCCAACGATGCGAAGAATTCTCTAATTACCAGTTTCGATCGGCACTCAGTATAATTACGGAACAGCGATATTAACATTTTTATCTACATAAAATTCTTCCTGGAAGATAAGGGGAGCACGATTTCATTAGATAACGAATATTGACGTATACTGTAATTTTATTTAAGCCTATAATACCAAGATTCGCTGCCTGGCCAGTATAAATCGAATCGGGGAACGAGGCACGGCACGAGTTCAACGCGCTAAGGTGAAAACCTAGATTTGCATCCGTGATATCACCGGTAATAAGCGCGGCAATGAGACGCGGGAGAGTTATTTTCTCACGTTACAGATAACAAGCATCCTCGTTATTACGTCTCGCTAATCGAGAATTCGATTTTTACACGTTCACGTCACTCGACGCAAGAATGTGTTTTGCCTCACGGCGAACACAGCCGGGCATGATAATAATTGGCGAAAGAAAAACGAATAACTTTTTCAAGGATCGGTTGCGTCACGGAACGCTTTACGCGTAATCCATTAGCACACGTGTACGATCACGAGGACTTATTTATGGTCTATTACAAAGATAATAAAGATTGGTCTATCTGTTAAATGGAATCCTCGTTCTCCTTGAAGACGTCAGAAAAATTCACGGTGTTAGAGGACGATCGCGCGTTAATCATTTCCATTGAAGATTCGACACCGATGCTATCTCCGGATAATAGCCAAGCGCAAAGTTCTTAAACCGATTTGCAATTCAAAAGCTGACGACACGTCGATCTTCTCGTGGCAAGCTGCCGATCTAATGATCGGCGGAAGTAAATCGGCAACACGTTCACGTAAGACGGTCTCAACGGTCGAACGAGTCCGGTCCGCGTTTCTCGATCACGGAACACGTCAGTCACGATGACTATTTTCCAGGACAGACGGTCTTCGGTAATAAATTCTTCAACGGTGCACCGTTAAGCAAAACCAGAAAGAACGATCGCGACCATCCTTCGCGATACGAGTCAAACAATGAAATAACGAACGCTAAACAACGCTTGGTTCGACGCCACACTACCTTGAGCATAATCGTTATCGCATATATAATCGTGACCCATACGTAATTCGCGTAAAATGCGTCGAGCTCGAGCATCCGCGTACGACTGCAGCAGTAGGAGAGGCTCGCAGCAAATTAATCAAACACTAACGACGATCTGTCATTAATAACACATCGTATTTCGTTGCCAGGTACCTCTGGATCGGGTAAACAAACGCGCCGAAGAGAAACTGAAACGATCGTCCTTGCCCATTGTCTGTGAACGGTATCGGCGCACACCAGAGTTTCGAATCGCGTCACACTCGATCGTGACACAGAAAAAAAAACGAGACGATCAAGATCACGGAGTGACTCTATTCTGGACGGATCACGTGCGTTCCTTTTTTTCTAAGAAACATACTAAGTATCTTTATATACGGTTTGTCAGAGACACGCGCTCGAGACTCGGGTTGCTAAATCGCGACTCGTTTACGAACTACCGGTAAGCGTTTGCTTGCCGCCAGAGAGAACCGAGAAGCTCAAGTTGGACGGGAGGTAGGGGACCTTCCCCTATTGCGTGCCCCTCGATGATGGGGGCCAAATCGAGGGACCCGCCAACATCCGAGAACGGGAGCCCATCTCACCGTTACCTACGCGACAGAATCCGGGGAGCCGAAAATTCATGAAAGTACAATTCGATCTACGTCCTCCTAAAACGTGACACAGTTGCTATCATCTTACAAATTGTTAGATTATCGTGATTCGCGTCTCGTGTTTATTTCGATTCTCGCTTTCTCTCGCCATATTCGGTTTTTAAATGAAGCGCTATCGATTGATTTATCGCGAGAGATGTAATTAAAGACCGAGGTAAAAAAGAATTGAATGAAACGAGTTGACCCGGTTGCGACAAATTGTGCCGGTTCAGGTGTAAAACGGCCATCTGATTAATGCGGTTCCATTCAATTTGCGGTTGTTCTGAACGTTTTCACGCAATCGCGGTAACCGATGAAATCAGAACGGGGAGGCTGGTAACGAAGATTAATGTCCCGTAAGAAAGAAACAGGTCCCGAGGAATCTGAATAAAATTTGAGACCAAAACTTCGTTCCTTTTACACGCGCGTCCGATATCATTAATCATTCTATTGCGTAATTTCGATACAGTAAAGCTACAAGATTTCAATTAGCTGCCACCTGCTGAGTTGATGCAACAAAAGGTCTCGAGATAATCTACAATTACCGCGATCGACGCTGCAATTAAATTCGAGATCTACCGCGGCATGGGAAGCGAGGTAAACGGAGCTCGATTACAATGTTTAACTGTAATATGTAAGCTGCGTGGAACTGTCGTCGGGAAGTTAATGGAAACGAAAGAAGGAGACTTTTAACGGAACGATGAAGAAATAAGCAGAAACCGCGAGTACCGTAATTACACGTTCTGAATTAAAAGGACGCAATTAACGTCTGCTTAATCTCCGTTCTGCGTTTAAACAGGGACAAGCTTTAAATTGTCCGTAATGTATCGATTGCTATCGGTGCGTTTCAGCGTCGGCCAGTTAGTAGGTCAGAGTGACAATTTCAAGAAGCAAGAAAATAAAAAACTCGATCGACCGTTTTACCCGCGGGCCCCGATGAAAATCTAGATAGACGTTTTACGCAAATTGAAATACCTGATAAAAAATAAACGATATAAATGCTAGTTGAAATACATGATTCTCTATTTTCCTCGACTATATTCCCTGCTTGCACAGTTGATTAACGTACACGGCGTGCACGGTATAGGAATTATATATTCTTCTGTTTGATTCAATGAACCACCTTGGGCTTCTTAGAAATTCAGTACTCGGCGGATCGAGTGCGGAATAAATTACGGATAGAAAACGAGAGATGCAGTCACGGTAATTTCTTCGGGAATCGTACGTACACACCGATTGTCATTCATTCGGTGAAAGTAACGTTATTTATTGTTCTTTAACGATCGTCTCGAGATACGCATCGGACGCTTCTGATTTTTCCATCGAAGAAAGCTGGATTAAGAGAAAAGCAAACACCGCCCGTCCACTTCTCTCATTGTTTCGCATCTGAGTTGTAGAAAACGCGAATTCCACAGAACGGTTATTAAACGCCAAGATGAAGAGTCGCCCACGCGATAACGCTATCCTCTCCGTTACATAATGGAACTTACACGCATACGAAGAACATAACTTTATCGTTCCGCGTAACAAAACAATTATTACCCCATTAGGGTAATTGATCTGTTATTTAAAACAGGGAGAGATCATTCGCGCGCGTGGTACGCTTTCCTCGCAAGAGAACATGCTTCGGTATCTGTCCAAACGTAAATCTAAATCCGCATTGATTCCCATAAGTTTGCTCGGTCTCGCATTCCTCAGTCGACTATGGCTTTTGTCAATAGGCTAAGCGTGAACACGCTGCTCGTGTCGAGAATGTCAGCAGAGAGGATAAAAAGGGCATCCGCGTTTAATATCTGATCATGCGGACAGCGGAGAGAACGTTGCACCGTGAAAACTGTGAAGATAAATCCGCGTTACCAACAACCCTACCTTTCACTTCTACCACGTGTACGAGAGCTGTCCTCAGGGTAAGGTCGTAGGAGCGAAGGCGAGTTCAAGCTGAACGGTGTGGGTGCTAATTTCGATCAACAGTGAAGGGTAGCCTGAATAATCTCTATACCGAACCAGCGTTGCAGAAATACACCTCCGAGATTCCTATCGTGCCTCAGAGAGGGAAAATGTGGTTGTTCGTACGCTAGGAGGACGAACTTAATTAAATGAATTTAACACCTTCCCCGAGGTTTCAACAATTACGCATGGGAACTCGTGCCGTTTTATTGTAACGTATACGCCACGGTATAAAGCGAGAATCCGGTGAAATCAGTCCGTACAATCGCGAACCTAACACAATTCCTATACGTGGCAGGTCAGAGAGAAGGAGAGAGCGAAAACGAGACTTATGCAAATTTTTCGTAGCGCCGCCGTGCTCGCTCAACCTTTCCGTGTCACACGCCGCGTACAAGGATAGAGCCACTCGTGTCGCGCGAATGCACCATGAAAATTCCACGTACTTACTTACATCTGAGGGGAAAAAATTAGCCGCATGTGAGAGCGAGAGCGACCTGAGCAGAAAACGAAAAACGGTTGTCCTTAATACGTTTCGCTAAACAAAAGGCATGTTTGCATGATAATAAACTGAGGAAGTCACGTGGAGGAACTCGTTAGTGCTTCATGCTAATTTGGTGTTCTATTAATATATCTGAAATCAAGCGAAGAACCGTAATTCCCCGCCAAGCCCATCTATGACCTAATCGCACGTTCAAGAAACGTATTCTGTTCGAACGTCTTCGGAAACTAAATGACACAAGAATATTTTTCAAATTTTTTTCCAAGGTATCATCGACTATACTTTCACCGCAAGAATGGACGGCATTTTTTTTATAGAAACTGTCTACTATATCCAAACCAAATTCTAAGAACTTATCCTCCTCCAATTTATTGTTACGTAAGTAACGCATTCTTTTTTTTTGCTAAGGGACAAAGATTGATTATACAATGGGACGCATACGTGCATCGTGAGTCATCAGGAATCTCGGTTTACCCGCGCATTTTTCGTATCCTACAGGCATCATCGAGCCGCGTTTTTCTTATTCTCATCGTAATAATGTTAAGTATTCGGTTGCCGGGGCGACGTGTAATATTTCCAATCGAAATTCGACTACCCGGCCAGTAGTCATACAATGTTACAAGGCCGTTGTTCGAAGCGGGCTGGCTTTAACATGGTATGAATTACAGACAGTGCTTGAAACAATACACCGCCGATATTGCATGGTACACCGTGTCGACTATCCGTGTATGCAATATTATGTAATGCCGTAGAAGAGATAACGCGAATTAGCGATCTCATTGTACGTCGCAGGTATTAGCCTCTCAAGGAAACGATACTTTATCCTGTTCCTCTTTTCTTCGCGGAACAATTGGATAAAGAATTTCTTTTATTACCACCGAAGCGAACCGATAAATAATTGTACAAACGATTTTATAACTTAATAATGCATCAGAAAGTGCGATCCTTGAATACGGCAAAAAGCACCGGAGGCATTCCTTTCGCGAATTAGCCAGAAAACGTGATCCCTTAATCGTCTCTGCCATCATCGTGCCTTCGCGTTTTTCTTACATTACACCCACATTTGCGAGAGAAATCAATCTGAAGAAACGCAAGGTAATAAACAGGACAAGAAAAAGATATTTACTACGATCGAGAGCAGAGGTTCGAGAGCGGAGAAACGTGTTCACCGCGACGCAATTAAATTCAAATTGGCCTGTGTTTTACCGTGGTGAATCGAGCGAAATATTCTTATCACGTCGAGAAACAAGCGGTCCTCGCTAAATATTCATCGTGTGTATCGGGTTAACGTGGACGACGGGAGAGCAAGAGGCGTGTACACGCGTGAAAGAAAAGGTAGGCAGGTATTCGCGAATGCGAAGGCATTCTCAAACGCGATAGCGTTCACGACTGCGGGATGGCAGCACGATACAGCTTGAATAATATAACGGAGGTGACGCGCGTGACAATCGGGTTTTTATACCCCTTTCATATCTGCCGCGATACCAAACCGAAGGGAATTTACTCACCGTCCGAAGACATCGCCAGCGGCAGCAGGTCTCCGGCCGCTTTCAGTTGGTCGAATTTCTCTATTAACAGCAGCAACCTGTAACACAACATTCGGCACACGTCTTTATTAAGTTCGTAAAAAGAAATACATCCTTGAGTGACTGAGTGTCAACGCAATTAAGGATAGAAAACGCAATCACTTTGGGAATGAAAAGTCTAATGGCATGCGGGCTCGAAGCCAAGGATCGATTTCGCTTTTTTACTTACTTCGGTTGTGGTACATTGTGCTTTCTCTGCAAGTCGACTCGCAATCTTTCACCGACGTGTCTGTAGATATCGGCCAGCGTGTTCAGAGCTGTTTCTCGCACTTTTTCGGATGGATCCGACAGCAGCTTTACTATACTTGGAATCACTCCCGACAGTATCATTTCATCGGCGCCGTGCCTGTAAAAGGATTGATTAACCCGTAATGAAAGCCTTCAATTTTTCTGACGGGACCATCTTCAATTTTACTGCAATTGATAATTGTAGAACTTACTCGTTCAGTGTGGTGGTTAAAAGAATCAGGGCCTCTTCTCTTAGTTTGGCATTTTTGTGAGTGAAGGCCGGTCGTAGTTTATCTAATAGCTGCTGGGGAGACATGCATCCCTTTTCCATTATCTTCAATAATACTAGCTGCGCTTTTTCCCTCGTCGCATCTTTGCTGTCACCTATTGGACAAAGATCATCGGTACTCTTAATCGCGTCGCTGTTAAACCAAAGTATAGCACGTATGGAAACAAAACCGAGACCGGTTTCCCGTATATTTATATCTGCTACATAATATCTCATCTCGTAATACGCGGTTCAACTTCCGTGCTTATTTTATCTGCGCCTCATCTAACCGTGAGTAAAGATTCACGAACCGCGACGATTAAGTTTACGAAGATAAAACAAACAGAAGAATGTACTTAATATTCAACTACGAAAAATCTGATTTAGATCGACAGCTTCTGATATGGATTCTCTACGTTTTCTCCACATTCACTTTTGATGTAAATGCATGAAAATAATTGTAGGATTCGAAATGAGACGTACCCAGTCTATCTATCGTTGGCTGAATAATAGTGGAAATGTAAGGCTTGAAATCGTGATCCATTCGATCTGCGAGGAACGTGAGGATCTCTAAGCCGTTCTGGACGACCTGGAACAAGAGAAACAAGAATCGTTTAGTATCTAAGACACATATCGAGGATCATAGCAGAATGATTGTCTCCTTTCCGTATAAAACGTTCTAAATCGGCTTTCTAGCCGGTGTTGCAAGGCAATTGAGGCTCGCCGGGCTATTTGCTGAACACAGACAACGTTTATACCGCCGCGAGAGATTAATTAACGAGAAAACCTGTGCCACGTAAACCAGCTTATGACGAATTAAATGAATTGAAAACAAATGATGACTGATAGAATTATTTGTTATATTCGTTAAGGAACAGAATTTAGTTTAAAAATAAACTGCTTGGACGTAAACTGTGTATGTGGTTACTAGCAAAGGGTGTAGGGTGTATCGATCCGGGCAAAATAAACTCCGCTTCCATGGAAGCTGAAAAATCTTAGACCCCTTGCAGGTTTTTCATCCTCCCTCGTAATTACACGTGGTCTGCAAACCCTCCCACCGTGTGCAGTCTTAACGATTACTTCACCGTACTTTCGTTTTACCTATTTTGCAGCTTCGCACCGGCTCCCGCGAAAACATACCTAATTGCTTCGGTTCGAGCGAATTACGCATTCCGGCCCCGTGGTTACGCACGAAATCAATAAGCAGCTCGGTAGCTTGTAAACCACCATATCAATCTTCGATGAACCATGGGGACAGAAAACAAGCTGGCTACCAAATTAATTCGCCCTTTTAACTTGCCAAGTATCTGCGAGGGTGTTGAATATGAGATTCGGGATTAATCTCGGCTTAGGACAAGTAAGAGATTTTAAGCACGATGTAGCGTGCTCGCCGAGGCTGTTAATGATCAGCCAGTGTGCTAATTATACGAGTCTCGAGGCGGAGAAAGAGAAACGAAAAGGCCCGAGCAATGATGTCACACAGCCAGACGACAGCCCTGAGAGAACGTTTACCCCGTCGACTCTAAAATAGGTTTACACGACTATGTATAGCGCTTCGTTAAATGTATTTAAACTGTCGCGGAGTAATGGACGGTTTCGCAGACAGTGACATTGGGATTCGCACTTGAGACTCGCGAGTATCGCCGATCAACCGGGATTGACCCATTTGCAATACGCTCTCAAAATTAACACGGTTGATGTACCGTTCGTTTCAT